GTGGCTCAGGTGTAATTATATAATTAATAGTGAGTTTCCATTAGCAATTGGTGGTCCAGGGAAAGGTTTGCATTGAGCAAGGCGGTCCGTGGACCAAAAAAGTTGGAGAACCACTGTGCTAGAGGGTGAGTGCTGCCCGGGCTGTGGCTCCATGTCTGGGGGGCAGCTGAGGGGAGAGGAAAATGCGTGGGGGGGGGGGGGGCCCTCTGTCCCAAAGCCACACTGGCACCTGGGTCCCTGACAGGAAGGTGAAGCCCAAGCAGGGCTGGACACCTTCAGGTCACTCACCCACCCCCACCTCACCCATTTCCCTGACCACCTCTCCCAAGATTGGATCAGTGCTGGCTTCCTGCGAGGTGGGGGGGTGGTGCAATGGGATGATGAGGCTCTGTGCCGTTTCCAGGGAAGCGCACGCACGCTGCTCCTCCCCTCCCCACGGGAAAAGCCAGAGCGGAGTCCCGGGCAAGAGACTAAGCGGGGCGCATGGTGGAGAGAGTCCCTCCTGCCATCCCGGGAGAGCAGCACAGCCCAGGGGTGTTAAATCTTGGCACACCTCTTCGGAAAGGTTGCTGACCCCCATGCTATGGCATAGACACAGAGACTGGTTTGTATTCCAGTCTCTCTTGTGAAGGAGTCCTACCAGTTTGAGAGTTGACTTTTTCATAAAGACCTATGATGAGTTTAAAGAGCGAGGGCTAATGCATGATCTTACAGTAAGCCACTTTGTGTTGTGGTTTGACAGACTTACTGTCCGCTCTGTGATTTCACTTTTCAGCAACGCAGTCAGTCAACAAGAAATTCAAATGCTGACACAAGTAGCCAAAATGCATCTGAGTTTATACAGAGCTAGCAGTGTTCATTCCTTCAAGAGTTTAAAAGAATTGCTGTGCAAAATGAGTTAATCTGTTTTTATCAGACAAGGAACTATGCGATCAGTCAGTGTACATGCACAAGCCTGGGACCATATAAAATTAAGTTTGTGTCCACTTAGGCTGTTTATAAAAAGTACACTAACTAGAGAGTCCCACACTTTATTGGCTGTATAGTCCAGCCTACTTAAACAATGAGAAGCGTATTGATCTCTTGTCTATGATGCATACACAGCATCAGTATGCCAAAGATACATCTTCAGCACTAAATGAGCTGCCTGAGGTTCATAGTCCTCTCATGCCAGTGGAAATCAGATTTTCCTATTTTTTTCCAGTTGGCAAAACTATTGATTTTTGAGGACTGTTGATGCATAGAGCATTCTCTGGCGTTTATCAGATGGAGTGTTCAAAATGTATTGTATTACAGACTGAAAAATACCATTGACTTGTCCTTGCTTAACCCAGCTAAACATTTTTGGTTACAAATATAAAATGGAGCATGAAAGTC